AAAACAGCAATTTAAAACATTGACAGGTCAAGGAATCAGCCTCAAAATCCTTCATCAATGATTTAAAAACACCAATCGGGACAAGTTCTTCCAGTTTAAAAGTATGTTGTAAGGCAGGGGTGTCAAACTCATTTTAGCTCAGGGGCCACATGGAGGAAAATCTATTCCCAAGTGGGCCGGACCGGAAAAATCATGGTATATATAACTTAAAAACAACAACTTCAGATTGTTTTCTTTGTTTTAATACGATCAACATACAACATAAAGCTGGAGCCTGAGGACAGTGTGTCCAAAATAGTACAAGCACAACATCACTATTAATCATAAAACACATCAAGTTTATTTGAAAATTCTAAAGAAAAAGAACACACAAACACACAATGCCTCAGTGATTAACAGAACTGTTTCACAGATCACAGAACTATATCAGGGTGTCATTTCTCAGGCAGAAATGTAGATAAAAATAATGAAATCCTGTTCCCCAAACAAGTGCAAGAACCACAGAGTCAAGAATAGGTTAAATATACAAATAAAATAAAATCAATTAAAAACAATAGCACATCAACATAAAAACATAAACATAAATCTGAAAACGTTGCTCAAACTCCCGTAACAGTCCCGTTATTTTATCTTTGAACCGCTTCATGTCTGCCACATGTTGGGTCGCGCACACATTTTTCAGACAGGGGAAGTGAGCCACCGGCAAGTTGCGTCTCCCACAATGACAGCTTCAACTTGAAAGAACGTATGCTGTCATAATACTGCGTGACAACTTTGTTGCGCCCTTGCAGCTGTTTGTTCAAGTTATTCAGGTGCTCTGTAACATCCACCATAAATGCAAGGTCCGGCATCCATTCTGCGGAATGAAATTCTAACACTGGTTTGCCCTTTTCTTCCATGAACTGTTCAATTTCTTCTCGTAAATCAAAGAAACGCCTCAGCACAGCACCTCGGCTTAACCATCTTACCTCAGTGTGGTATGGCAGGCCATAGATGTGGTCTTTCTCTCTGAGAAGGCTGTCAAACTGACGGTGATTCAGGCTTCTGGATCGGATGAAATTAACAGTTTGGATGACCACCTTCATGACGTTATCCATCTTTAATGACTTGCAACACAAAGCCTCCTGGTGCAAAATACAGTGAAAAGTCAAAAAATCACGTCCTCCATTTGCAGATTGCACTTTCTCTCTGAACTTTGTCACAACGCCTGCTTTTTTCCCGATCATTGAGGGCGCACCATCTGTAGCCAGGCTGACAGCGCGGGACCAGTCCACTCCGACCCTGTCCAGCGCGCCGACGAGTGCGGTAAAAATATCAGCTGCTGTCGTTGTATCTGTCATCGGCACCAACTCCACGAACTCCTCGGTGACGGTCAATGTGTCATCAACTCCGCGGATGAAAAAATTGCCAGTTGTGCAACATCTGTAATGTCCGCGCTTTCATCAATTGCAACCGAAAACGCAATAAATGACTTTACTTTTTGCTTCAACTGGCTGTCCAAATCCACTGAAAGATCGGAAATCCTGTCTGCAACTGTGTTTCTTGTCAGGCTGATATTTGCAAAAGCCTGCCGCTTTTCAGGGCACACAATCTCCGCTGCCTTCATCATGCATGTTTTTACAAATTCACCCTCACTAAATGGTTTTGAAGCCACTGCGATTTCATTAGCAATGAGGTAGCTAGCTTTCACTGCAGCGTCACTGATGTCTCGGCTGTGAGTAAACACAGACTGCTGTTTCTTCAGACCCGCCAACAGTTCATTCACCTTCTCTCATCTCCGCTGTCCTTGAAAGTTGTCATATTTGTCGGCATGAAGACTCACATAGTGGCTACGAAGGTTATATTCTTTCAGCACTGCAACATGCTCTGAACACACCAAACATACAGCTTTCCCATTCAATTCCGTGATTAAATAGGATGACCATTTTTCTTGGAACACTCTGCACTCTGCGTCCACTTTTCTCTTTTTTGACAGAGACATATTGGGGCAATGAGGGTGCCAAAGCACATAATGTTAAAAGTAGAAGCCGTAATAAATATCGCGGGCAAAACAAAGTAGCTCATTGGCTGCACGTGCTTGACCTACTTGCTCTGCCCCGGTATAAACAGTTTGCTTGCTTAACACAATTGCTATTGCGCCATCCAGTGGACGCAATTGGAACAGCAGTTTATTTTATTGAAAAATTGCAGCGCATTTTTATACTTTACAATTATTATTATTATTTTTATTTTTATTTATTTTTTTTCAAAATCATCTCGCGGGCCGGATTAAACCCGTTTGCGGGCCTGATCCGGCCCGCACGTTTGACACCCCTGTTGTAAGGCGTTCCAAGCCGATGGCGCAGAGTACATAAAAACCCTTTTACCAAATTCAATTCGGACATTTGGAACTGTTAGCTGGATGAAGTCCTGCGAACGAAGGAAGTACCCACCACATTTCTGGTAGTAAACCCAAATGGTAGTATACCCAAAATGGCTTTGTAAATAAAAGTATACCAGTGACTGAGCCTACGTGTGACTAGAGAAGGCCAGCCAACCCTGGTATATAAAGTGCAATGGTACGTAAGGGTTTTGCAGTTAAAATAAATCTCAATGCTCCATGATAAAGGGTGTCAATTGTTCTCAAACACTGAGCGGAAGCATTCATATATAAAATATGTTTAATGAGCTGAAAATCATGGCTACCCGGACTATTTGCACTGCCCCCCCACCCCCACCCCATATTTTAACGCTGCTGCTACTCTGTTAAGTATTTATGCATAGTCACTTTAACTCTACCCACATGTACATATTACCTCAACTACCTCAACTAGCCGGTGCCCCCGCACATTGACTCTGCACCGGTACCCCCCTGTATATAGCCTCCCTACTGTTATTTTATTTGACTTTACTTCTGCTCCTTGTTTCGCAACACTTTTTTGTTGTTGTTGTTTTATTTTACTTTTTTATTAAAAAATAAATGCATTGTTGGTTAAGGGCTGTAAGTAAGCATTTCACGGTAATGTCTACACCTGTTGTATTCAGCGCATGTGGCAAATAAAATTTGATTTGATAAAAGACCCCAGAAATGTTCCATAATCACAAAAAGCTTGTGTCTCTCACATTTTTTGCACAAATATGTTTACATCCCTGTTAGTGAGCATTTCTCCTTTGCCAAGATAATCGATCCACCTGACAGATGTTTTGTTTACCTGGCCACTGTTTCAAATTCTAACTTTTTGCAAGTCAATGGTACCTATATTTTAAAAAATGTGCGCTTCATATCCAAATCACCTACAAGTAACATCATTGAGTTACACAATACATTTTTAGATACTAGATTGGATTTGTGACACAAATGCTAAAAAGTTAGCATTTCAAACAGTGGCCAGGTAAACAAAACCAAAGCAAGGGTTAAAGTCATACCTTGTGCATAGACTGCTTACAGGGTAAGAAAACCATTATGTCATTTAGTAATTTGTGTGAACCATCCCTTTAACAATGGGTGGGGAGAGAATTATAATCACCTAATAGCAGGAACAGCACCATCTAGTGGTCAGAACCTGGTAATATCAAGATGTAGGATGGGACATAAACCGATAAGACACTGATTTTATTGCGATTCGATGTTCTAAACATATTGCTCACCACATGGCCGGCCCGCTCATTAGGCAGGATTAGGCGGCCACCTATGGCGGCAGATTGACGAGGGACGCAATTTTCTGAGCTAATCTGACCAAGACGCACCTCCAACAACAACACATAAAACCTCACTTAATTCTGCCCAAAAACAATTTCTCTCAACCAGTGGCATATGGGCTTTTTAGGTGAGCGCTGATGCTGCCTTTTGATAAGCAGTGCCCACTTTGTCAAAGCAGGGGCGCACATTTTTTTGCTTGTCATTCCCAGCGCCCCTCTCCAGGGTGCTGTTGGAGAGATGCATCTCTTCAGAACTCCACCCCAAAAATGATCAAACATAAATCATGTAACAGATATAGGATATAGTATAAAGAGTATGTGGCCTTTTCTGTAGCCTACAGGCTGGAGATAAAATGTATGACAATGTAATGAGATGGATACATTTTACATCATGCAGGTTTCTCTGTTCAAATAGCCTAACCTAAATGGCGCTAAATCTAATTAAAAATTAGCTGTCGTAAAAAAATAAAAAATAATCCTAAACGCAGGACAGGTCAAAGTAAAATGGCCAATATTGAATGGACAATCACACTGACGGCGATGCCTTTTGGACGTCTTTTTTTTATGCAGTTCCGAACCGGCCTTGATTTCCAAATCCACGGACATTGGTTTTCGGTCTGGACCAAACCTGAACCAATCATAGACGTCTCCGTTTGGTTCAGATTTTGACCAGTCTGGACCAGCCTAGATTTGGCCCAAACATAAACGTCTATAAATTACTTATTTTCAACTTTCATTCAGAACCGAAAATGAACCTGATTTCAACGTCCAGAAAATACGTATTTTCAACATCTGGAAAATAAGCCTTTTCAACCTCCTGAAAAATATGTATTTTAAACATGCAGAAAATACTTTTTCACCTTTCATTCAGAACCTAACTTGAACTTAACTTAATCGTCTGGAAAATACTTATTTTAGACGTCATTTCAACGTCACTTTGCTTACTGGGACTATTCTAGTTTTTTCTTTTGGGGGGGCATAAGGAACAGCCATGGCTCAGCAAGAGGGACAAAAGAGAGCCATGAGAAAACAAGTTTTGATCAGTCATGGAAATAAAAGTGCTGAAAACAAAATGGGCTCGCTATTTAAATAGAAGATGGAGAACAAGATATAAAGGAAAAATACTGGAGTTTTGGTGCAGGTACAACCAACTAGCCCAACAATTATATCGCGATATTGTCAAAACGCTACAATATAGTCCAAAAAATAATCTGATATGTAATTGTATGAGCTCTTTCCCCCATTACTAATTTCTACATGTATTCATGAATCACTCTGTGTATCCTATTTCTCATCTATCTATTAATCTTTCCTTGCTGTAGCTTGATAAAGAGTGGGTGCAGAAGTTGAACCGCGACATGCAGCGTAAGGAGGAGTGGCTCCAAGAAAAGAGGATTAAGAGGGAGAAAAAAGTGGAGCTTGGAAAAGAGAAGGATTGCAATAGGGTAATATAGTCAAGTGTATTGCAATAGGTAGGCTACACACAAACCATAGACCATTATTGGCACACAAAAACACCCTTCCTAAATATAACTGCCATTCCCCTAGTTTCACTAATCTGTCCTCATCGGACATTCAGATCAGATTTCGGAAACTGTTTCCAATTTAAAAAATATCCTCTGCCACTTTCACAGTAAACACACAAAGACACAGATATGTTGGCAGCCTGGCATCAACATCCATCCATCACACTGCTCCCCGCAGTGAGTCACACAAGGCTGGAAGACACACTTAGCCTATCGACTCTAAACACACCAGTGCCCCCTGCAGGTGCTGCCCGCAGGGAGGAGCAGGAAGTGAAGGCCAGCCTGAGAATGAACCAGATGGAGAGGGAGCAGCAGCAGCTGGAGAGACAGGCAAGGATCAGGCTATGTGCCGTTCAGATTGGGTGGCTTTATGTCTATACACCGAGTATACAAAACATTAAGAACACCTGCTCTTTCCATGATAGACTGACCAGGTGAACGCTATGATCCCTTATTGATGTCACTTCTTAAATTCACTTCAAAATCAGTGTAGATGAAGGGGAGGAGACAGGTTAAAGGAGGATTTTTAAGCCTTGAGACATGGATTGTGTGTGTACCATTCAGAGGCTGAATGGTCAAGACAAAATATTTAAGTGCCTTTGAACGGGGTATGGTAGTAGGTGCCAAGCACACCGGTGTGGGTCAAGAACTGCAACGGTGCTAGGTTTTTCACACTCAACAGTTTCCTGTGTATCAAGACACAAGCCAACTTGACAACTGTGGGAAGCACTGGAGTCAACATGGGCCAGCATACATTTTAGTCATTTAGCAGACGCTCTTATCCAGAGCGACTTACAGTTAGTGAATACATATATATATATTTTTATACTGGCCCCCCGTGGGAATCAAACCCACAACCCTGGCGTTGCAAACGCCATGCTCTACCAACTGAGCTACATCCCTGCCGGCCATTCCCTCCCCTACCCTGGACGACGCTGGGCCAATTGTGCGCCGCCTATGAGTCTCCCGGTCGCGGCCAGCTGCGACAGAGCCTGGATTCGAACCAGGATCTCTAGTGGCACAGTTAGCACTGCGATGCAGTGCCTTAGACCACTGCGCCACTCATACCTGTGGAACGCTTGACACCTTGTAGAGTCCATGCCCCGACGAATTGAGGCTGAGGGCAAAGTGTAAGATTTGGTTTGAGTAAACCACGTTGTGGATGTTTCGATCTCTGTTTTGTCTTACCCTGTAATGGTTGCTGTGTACACATTCAAATACACACAGGACATGCTGTACTACATGCATCAGTTGGAGCAGAGGCTGGAGGTGGCTACAGACAATAGGTGGAAGGAAGTGGCTCTCTACTACTCAACCAGTGAGTGATACCAATACCACAGAGGCTAATGTACAGACCCAAAGTCAGGCACTCGCAGTATAAATTCTAGACATATACAGTATAGTATAGACGTCGTCCTATTCTTGGATGCTCATGACATATTTAGCTCGTGGCAATGACTCCCTACCTGACAACTCATCTGAGGATGAGAAGCCTGCATCTCCACTACACTACCGGACACCCAGACTACCCTACTGGAGTGACGCGCTGGAACACTCCTCTCACCGGAGTGTGGAGTGTCCCCAGACAGAGACAGTAGGCCACCATATCTCAGCCAAAGTCAAACTATGTACATACCACCAAAACACAGAATATGTAATGGACACAGCTAAATATACTTAACAAAAATATAAAACCGCAACATGCAACAATTTCAAAGATTTTCCTGAGTTACAGTTCATAGAAGGAAATAAGTCAATTGAAATAAATACATTAGGCCCTAATCTATGAATTTCACATGACTGGGCAGGAGCGCAGCCATGGGTTGGCATAAGCCCACCCTCTTGGGAGCCAGGCCCACCCACTGGGGAGCCAGGCCCAGCCAATCAGAATGAGTTTTCCCCCACAAAATGATTTTTTAGAGACATAAATACTCCTCAGAAGAACCCCACTCAGACGATCCCGCAGGTGAAGAAGCCGGATGCGGAGGTCCTGGGCTGGCGTGGTTACACGTGGTCTGCAGTTGTGAGGCCGGTTGGACAAACAGCCAAATTCTCTAAAACGACGTTGGAGGTGGCTTATGGTATAGATATTAACATTAAATTATCTGGAAACAGCTCTGTTGGACATTACTGCAGTGAGCATGTCAATTGCACACTCCCTAAAAACTCTGTGGCATTGTGTTGTGTGACAAAACTGCAGATTTTAATTTATTTTTTATTTAACCTTTATTTAACCACGTAAGCCAGTTGAGAACAAGTTCTCATTTACAACTGTGACCTGGCCAAGATAAAGAAAAGCAGTGCGATAAAAAACAGAGTTACATATGGGATAAACAAAACATACAGTCAAAAACACAATAGAAAATCTATATACAGTATGTGCAAATGTAGTAAGTTATGGAGGTAAGCAATAAATAGGCCATGGTGCAAAATAATTACAATTTAGTATTAACACTGGAGTGAGAGATGTGCCGAAGATGATGTGCAAATAGAGATACTGGAGTGCAAATGAGCAAAATAAATAACAATATGGGGATGAGGTAGTTGGGTGGGCTAATTACAGATGGGCTGTGTACAGGTGCAGTGATCGGTAAGGTGCTATGACAACTGATGCTTAAAGTTAGTGAGGGAGATAAGTCTCCAGCTTCAGAGATTTTTGCAGTTCGTTCCAGTCATTGGCAGCAGAGAACTGGAAGGAATGGCGGCCAAAGGAGGTGTTGGCTTTGGGGATGACCAGTGAGATATACCTGCTGGAGCGCATACTACGGGTGGATGTTGCTATGGTGACCAATGAGCTAAGATAAGGCGGGGATTTGCCTAGAAGTGATTTATAGATGACCTGGAGCCAGTGGGTTTGGCAACGAATATGTAGTGAGGGCCAGCCAACGAGAGCGTACAGGTCACAATGGTATATGGGGCTTTGGTGACAAAACGGATGGCACTGTGATAGACTACATCCAATTTGCTGAGTAGAGTGTTGGAGGCTATTTTGTAAATGACATCGCCAAAGTCAAGGATCGGTCGGATAGTCCGTTTTACGAGGGCATGTTTGGCAGCATGAGTGAAGGAGGCTTTGTTGCGAAATAGGATGCCGATTCTAGATTTAACTTTGGATTGGAGATGCTTAATGTGAGTCTGGAAGGATAGTTTACAGTCTAACCAGACACCTAGGTATTTGTAGTTGTCCACATATTCTAAGTCAGACCCGCTGAGAGTAGTGATTCTAGTCGGGCGGGTGCAAGCAGCGTTCGATTGAAGGGCATGCATTTCGTTTTACTAGCGTTTAAGAGCAGTTGAAGGCTACGGAAGGAGTGTTGTATGGCATTGAAGCTCGTTTGGAGGTTTGTTAACACAGTGTCCAATGAAGGGCCAGATGTATACGTGTATTTTAGAGTGGCCGTTTATTGTCCCCAGCACAAGGCGCACCTGTGTAATGATCCTGCTGTTTATTCAGCTTCTTGATATACCCCACCTGTCAGGTGGATGGATTATCTTGGCAAAGTAGAAATGCTCACTAACAGAGATAAACACATTTGTGCACAAAACTTGAGAAATAAGCTTTTTGTGTGAATGGAACATTTCTGGGATATTTTATTTCAGCTCATGAAACATGGGACCAACACTTTACATGTTGTGTTTATATTTTTGTTCAGTATATAACACTATGGCTCATCCAAATACACAAAACAATTTCATAAACAAAACATACTAAATTACATCAGTACATGCATGTCAATATTCCTGAAATCCTCACTTGAGTTATTTTCTGTGTGTATGTGTTGTTTTATCAATCTGGACTAAGGATGAGGAGGAGCACAAGACCAGTAAGGGTGAAGACCAACCACTGATTCTGCCAGACCTCACCAACCCCATCATAAGGTGACCATTCTGGCCTTCTGCCAAACCCTCCACTATCTCCAACCCTGGTACCGAAACAGTTTATTTTCTGACTGCTGTTAAAATGACCCTGTTCCTTTCCTCTTCATGTGTGAGAATATGTAAAGCACTGCAGCAGCGCCACTGAATTAAAGAACAGCGGGAATAAGAACATCTATAAAATTATAATGATTTTCCTCCCAAAAAGTAATTTGAATGTTATAGAGGTAATGCATCAGCTGGAGTAGGCCAGTGGGAGTAGAGCAGAGCCATATAGGGAGGGATGGGGGCAGGGGATAATAAAGACCAGAGCTGGAAGCAGTGTGGGGATGATCCATCACTAGTCACACACAGTGTTAAGTATTCACCACAGCATCACTCATTCTCCCACTCTCTCTCTCCAACCATTATTAACTACTATGCCCATTCTCTCTCTTTCATGCATGCATCCATTCATCCACAGAGCCTCACCTAATGTCTCCCCTTGCCATCTCCCTCTTTCATAGTGAGCTTGCTGACTGCTCCCCCTTGTGGTAACAGAAATGAGGACAAGTTGCTTGAATATCCTACAACGGGGATGGGCAACTTTGATGGGGGTGGGGGCCACAAAAAATCTGAACTCCTCATGAGGGGCAGCAGTGGCTTGCGGGTCTGCGTACCCACATATGCAGTCAGAGCCGGCCCTAGCCTTTTGGGGGCCCTAAGCACAATATTGTCAGGGGCAATTCTACACATTTTGCCATAGGGTGGAGAGAAATGTTGCCCCCCCCCCCCCCCCGGTCGGTAATTCGACCATTACTACAAGTTTAGATAGCTGGCTAGACCAATTTAACAATCTAAAAAATATTAGCTGACATTGGTGAGTGACTGTCAGTGACTGACATAAGAGAAAAACTGCTCATGCACAACCAAATTTCGAAATTGCACCTTGTTTATTCTACTATTCCAACTCTCAACAGTGAGTTGAGACCCAGACTGAGTTCCTAAAATTAAAATAAATAAAAGGACCTACATTATGGTTGGCTACCGACAACTAGTTAGCCATATAGACACTGTGCTGTAGAGATACAATATTTATAAGCCTATGAATTTGACTTGGGATGTGTGATGTGTAATTTTTTAAAGACTCAATTGGTTGTGTGGCACTAGTGGTTTGGTTAACATTCAGTGTTTCAAATTAGCCAATAGAATAAAAGTGTTGATGTTTTGCGTCAAAGGTGACCATTGTGCTATGTTCATACGAGCACAATGTCAATGGCTGTTTGCCTGGAAATAAAACAGTGGTCTACTAGGTCTTTCAACTTAGGCCTACAGCAGCTGGCTAATAGCAATTCGAGGTTTCTTGTTGAAAGCAATCTGTCCATTACACTATTTCTATCTCGGTATACATTTTATTTAGGTGCTATAAATTAGCCCGATACATTTGGGAGTAGGCTGTAAAGATGTGTGTAGAGTTGTAAAAGTGTGCACAAGAGTGATAGAATGAACAAGTTCCCTCTATTGGTTATGTTGTTTCTTTTTATTTAATGATTTATCCATTTGATTCTGAAGTTTACTTTCGGAGTGCTTCACACTGTGTGGATGAGTTTTTGTAATAAAACACTGTCTGTTTACCGATTTATGCTCATCTCTATCCTGTAATTTTTGAGGCAGCGTTAAAACAAATGGTCCATACTCTATCACAGACTGGTTGGATGGAGGGGAAGATCAGGAAGGCAGTCAACTGTCGGCTACTCTGCCTCTGGTCCTCTTTCTACACTGTCTCTTACTATTCTCCAATACTCCCACTCTACCCAGCAACTTACTTTTTGCAGTAGTCCTCTTTATCCACTTTCCTCCCTCCCACAAACAAACACCTGTGTCCCCCCTCCCCATCAGTCCAGTCTAACGAATGCTTGCATTCTTCTCAACCTTCTTTGGCACTAAAACATCTGCATTCTGAAACCAACCTCCTCTACATAACCCCTCCGCTGGCCCCATCCCTCCCACACCTGAATCTGAGATGGAGGAAAAGCGCTCATTATAAAATCAATGGTCTTATGCAGTTGCTTTTACAGCCTGCTCTGAGTCTGAAACCTGGTCTGGGGAAATCAGAGTCGCTCTGTGCTAAAACCCAAACATTAGAGATACCACCTCTTTGAGAAGCCCACCACCACTCTACTACAGCATCACATATCCCACCACCACTCTACTACAGCATCACATATCCCACCACCACTCTACTACAGCATCACATATCCCACCACCACTCTACTACAGCATCACATATCCCACCACCACTCTACTACAGCATCACATATCCCACCACCACTCTACTACAGCATCACATATCCCACCACCACTCTACTACAGCATCACATATCCCACCACCACTCCACTATAGCATCACATATCCCACCACCACTCTACTACAGCATCACATTTCCCACCACCACTCCACTATAGCATCACATATCCCACCACCACTCCACTATAGCGTCACATATCACACCACCACTCTACTATAGCGTCACATATCACACCACCACTCTACTATAGCGTCACATATCACACCACCACTCTACTATAGCGTCACATATCACACCACCACCCTACAACAAGTCCATCCCTCCTTCCCTAATCTGCTCCTTTTCATTCGCTCTCGGTTTATATTATGTTTGTCTATCTTAAGGTCTCTAACTCTGTATCCTTCTTGGGCTCAAGAACATCCCTGGCTGCGATCTACAACTAATCTACAAGGATTCCCTGAGTGACCCTTGATGGTATATGGTCCAAAATGCCTTTATCCCTGATGTATCTGATAATACTCGTCATATTCATCTGCACCCAAGGGTAAGAGTGGCTCCCCTCCCCCTCTGTGCAGTTTTTATCTCAGTGCAGTCTCACTCCAGGCAGCCAAAGGCAGATCAAATATAAATGAAGACAGAAACACATAAAAATGGGGGAATAAAATATACTGCTCAGCCTCCTTAAATCCCCCACCCCGCGTTCCCATGGAAACGTGCCTCAGCACAGTCAAATATAGAAGGTCATTAAAAGCTTCCTTGTAAAACAGTGTATAATGTATGGACCCTGTTTTAATCTTTGCACCGCTTTATCGATCTCTGTTTAATGAAAGTTAATTATAACAATCATTTAATTAGCAGTCCTATCCCAATTTATTACATGTTCTCTCTCCCTATTACTAAAAATGACCATGCTGACAAAACATATCCATCATTGAAGGGAGGCTTGTGTATGTGTGTAATGCATGGAAATATTCATTGTGCCAACTTTCATGATTAGAGTGAGCATTTTCGCAAAAAACAGTAGGGCCTATCCCTCAATCTAACCAAATCAGCAGGGATGTAATCATTTGTGCAGACCGTAGCAAACAGAAAACGTTTTGCAAAAAACTAAAGAGGGACCTACCTGAATTTGTTCAATAGAAACTCTCGTTTTCGTTGCAAACCGTTTTCCGTTTGGAGCAAATGGTTTCCAATGCAAAAACGGGTCATTGATGAAAGAGGAGAAAGGAGGCTGACACGAATTGTGCAGAGCAACAGACGGGCTACAGTTAGTCAACTGACAGTCCAATACACCATTGGTTCCCAAAGACCAATAAAATAATGCACAGATCATCGTACCTTGACAAGAATGGGGTATGGCAGCCGACAACAGAGTTCCACTTCTTTCAGCAAGAAATAAGAAACTGCGATTGCAGTGAGCTGAGGAACGAAAACACTGGACATTGGAGAATTGGAAAAACATTGCCTGGTCTGATGAATCCCGGTTCCTGTTGATGGGAGGACTAGGGTATGGCGAAAAGCACATGAGTACATGCATCCATCATGCCCCGTGTCAACATTGCAAACTGGTGGTGGTGGTATGTTTTCATGGCACACATTGGGGCCCGTTGATAAAAGTGGAGCAACGTTTGAATGCCACAGGATATCTGAACATCATTGCCAATCAGGTGCATCCCTTCAGTAGGATAATGCTCCATGGCTAGAATTGTCCAGGAATGGTTCCACGAACATGACAGTGAATTCAGCTTACTGCAGTGGCCTGCCCAGTCACCACATCTCAAAACAATTGAGCATCTGTGGGATGAGGGGGAACGAGCTATTCGGAGTAGAGATCCACTACCAGACAATTTGACAACTGTTACGGGTAGGGACTTCCCAAGAATTCCGAATAGCACTAAGAGGCACAACCCCGATAGTTTTTTCTCAAAGTTGCCGGGATGTCACGTGTCCTACTTATATCAGTACACCTAAGCATTACAAAACGTATATTCAATCAAATAAGCCATTCAATTGTTTGTTGACCAAATTCCACACTCATTGACCTCATACAAAAACACCTTGCTTGGTGAGGGTGGGAAAAAAATGCTACCTGCTGGAGAAAACTGATTTTGGACTGATTTGGGCCTCTCGCTTTGCCTCTTCCTCTCTGGCAACTACTAACGTTACCTTGTTAATGTGAAAGCTGTAGAAGGTTTTAGTGGGACAATTTAAAAGTTGCCTAGCCTTTTCGATATACTGTTAATTCTAGAGAATAAAAAGGCCCAAAATGTATCTAGGCAGGCTATTTCACAATGTAAAAATAGGGTACAAGTTACTTACATGTTTGACGAAAACTGATTCCCTTTCCCTCACATGAAAGTTGCAAGTCTACACAGGGCGCGCTGGAAGTAGTATAATTTAACCAAAGTCATACATAGGCCAACTGGTAGGCCTAAACTGTTCAAAAGTCAAAATTAACTGGAAATGTCACGCATATCAAGAAACAGGCCAAACAGATCGAATTTCTAGAGAACACAACTTCAAGCCTGCTTCAAGCCTGCTTCAAGCCTGCTTCAAGCCTGCTTCAAGCCTGCTTCAAGCCTGCTTCAAGCCTGCTTCAAGCTTCCTCACGTGACAGAAAGTGCGGCAACACACACCTGGCTGAGATTGGATTGCTGCATGCACCTGAGAAGATCAATTAATGGTGTACATTAGTATTTTGTCCCTTGTCAGT